AGGGAGGTGTTGTTACTCCCAGACTTATGATTAGTTATGTTTGTGATTGTTTATGATTAGTTGTTTGTGATTGTTAACGATTAGGTGTTTGTGATTGTTTATATCGTAGCCAATTTCACCTGTTTTTTATACTGTGGTCAACTTTTACGTACATATATTTCACCTATTTAAATTGAAACCAATTTCTGCTATTTATATGATGCCAATTTTTCCTTCTTATATTTGAGTGAATTTCATCTATTTATAGTGATGTCTATTTCATCTATGTATCGCATCCGTTTTGTCCTCGATAACAATAAAACACTCGTATATTTAATTTTATTTTCGTTGGTGAACTACGGGTGTATTTCGTTCAAGCCATGTATATGTTTGTCGCACATACACACACACACACACATACACACACACACACACACACGCACACACACACACGCACACACACACACACACACACCTACTCAGAGGTAGCGAAAATTACTACAACGTATTTATTGACAAATTCATGACGAAGGAGGAACAGATTGCCCACAGAGCAAGCAAACAACAATACGACTCTTCCCATTTGAGCGCAGCTACACACCCCAGTGCTAATCCACCCCATGCTAACCAGCTCACACGTGCTTCTCAGGTCACCCCTTTCCCAAATCAGCCGCCCCTGCTTATCTCCCCAGCACATCCCTTGACCCCTCTGACCCCACTGGAGTCAAATTCATCCCACATTCCAAGGACCCCCTCATCACCTCAACCCCCAAAACCCGTCCAGCCCTCGTCCCCTCAACCCCCAAAACCCACCCAGCTCTCATCTCCTCAACCCCCAAATCCCATCCAGACCTCATCCCCTCAACCCCAAGAACCCACCCAGACCTCATCCCCTCAACACCCAAAGCCTACCCTGCCCTCACCCCTCCTCATCCCCTCTCCTTCCATGTGACCCCCACCCTTGCGAGGGAGGTGGGAGGTCCCCCCCACCCCCTCTATCCATCCCCCTCCCAACCTCTCAACCTCTATCTGTCTCCCAACCTTACGCCATCTCCCAACCCCTCTATGCCCTCCCTAATCTTCAGACCCAGTATGCCCTTCCTACTCCAGACCTACCTACCCAGGCCCTACCCCAGACCCTCCTACCTACCTTCCTAGAAGCCCAGCCCCCAGTAGCCCCCCAAGCACCCCTCCTGAACTCTTTCACCCCCCATACACCCCCCGGACCCCCCAGACACCCCCTGGATCCCCCCGGACATCCCCCGGACCCTCCCCGCCCCCAGTCATCCCCCAGACACCCCCCAGATCCCCCAGATCCCCTCTGCCCCCAGTCACCCCCCAGACATCCCCCAGATCCCCCCAGACCCCCAGAGAAAGGGAGAACTCTGGTACAAGAGTTTCCATGAAGAATCTCAAGGTTTGGTACACCAATGCTGATGGGGTATCTAATAAAGCAGAAGAGATAAAAGAAAGAGTGAGTGAAGCAGATCCTGACATAGTTGCAATTGTGGAAACTAAAATTAATGACATGATCTCAGATGCTATCTTTCCTGAAGGGTACCAGGTGATACGAAAAGAGAGGACACAGAGACAGGGAGGGGGAGTAGCACTCCTAATAAAGCGGAAATGGAAGTTTGAAGACCTGGGAAATCGAGTTACCAATGAGTGCACAAGCTTCATACATGGAACTCTGACAGTAGATGGGAGGAAGATTGTGATCATGGTAATCTACAATCCCCCACCAAACAGTAGAAGACCCAGGCAGGAGTATGATGACAACAACAAAGCATGTATTGATGAACTGCAGAAGGCAGCAACACTAGCCCACAGAATGAGAGCGAAGCTGCTGATCATGGGGGACCTAAATCATGGAGAGATAAATTGGGAATCAAGGAATCCCCATGGAGGGGATGAAACGTGGGGAGCAAAATTAGTAGATGTTATAGACAGGAATTTCCTGACACAACATGTGAAGGAAGACACAAGGGAAAGAGGAGGAGATGCACCGAGCCTATTAGACCTGATTTTCACCCAGAACGTAGAAGATATCGAGAATTTAGAGCATGAAATACCTCTAGGGGCCAGTGACCATTGTGTCCTAGTCTTTGACTACATGATGGAATTCAAAATTATGACCATGGGACAAGAGATCTGGGAAAGGAGAGCTGACTACAGGAAAGGGGACTATATGAGGATAAGGGACTATCTGGGTGAAGTGCAGTGGGAGGAAGAAATTAGAGGAAAAACAGTCCAAGATATGATGGACCTAGTCATACAGAAATGCCAGGAGGCCGAAGAGAGATTTATACCAACGGTAAAGGGAAAAAATAAGAAGGAATATAATAACCCATGGTTTAATAGACAGTGTCAGGAAGCAAAAATGGCCAGCAGGCGGGAGTGGAGGAAGTACAGAAGACAAAGAACAGAGGACAACAGAAGCAGATACAACAGAGCTAGGAACGATTACATTAACATAAGACGAACATCGGAAAGGGACTATGAGAACGATATTGCAATCAAAGCGAAAAAACAACCTAAGTTACTACACAGTCATATAAGAAGAAAAATGTCGGTGAACGACCAAGTGACAAGACTAAGGAAGACAGAGGGGGCATATACTGAAAGTGACAAGGAAATCTGCGAGGCACTGAATGCCAGTTTCCATGGAGTGTTCACTACCGAGCCTGAGCAGCTCCCATTGTTGGAAGGGGTTACCCTAGATGAAAGACTATCAGATATAGAGGTGACAGCAGAGGAGGTAATGAAACAGTTGACAACTCTAGATGCAACTAAAGCAGTTGGACCAGACAAAGTATCACCGTGGATACTAAAAGAAGCAGCACAGGCCCTCAGCGTGCCTCTGGCAATGATCTTTAATGAGTCACTTATGTCAGGAGAATTGCCCAGTTGCTGGAAGAAGGCAAATGTCGTGCCGATCTTCAAGAAAGGAGATAGGGAGGAGGCACTTAACTACAGACCTGTATCACTGACAAGCATCCCCTGTAAAATACTGGAAAGAATAATTAGGCTACGACTGGTTGCACACCTGGAGAACATTAGGTTTGTGAACAAACATCAACATGGGTTCTGGACAGGGAAATCGTGCCTAACAAACCTTCTGGAATTCTATGATAAAATAACGAGGATAAGACAGGACAGAGATGGTTGGGCAGACTGCATATTTCTGGACTGCCAAAAAGCCTTTGATACAGTACCGCACATGAGACTGCTGTTCAAGCTCGAGAGGCAGGCGGGGGTGGGGGGAAAGGTCCTAGAATGGATAAGGAACTACCTAACAGGAAGGAGCCAAAGAGTTACGGTAAGGGGCGAGAAGTCGGACTGGCGAACAGTAACAAGTGGAGTACCACAAGGATCGGTGCTGGGACCAATTCTATTTCTTGTGTATGTTAACGACATGTTTACAGGCGTAGAGTCCTACATGTCGATGTTTGCGGATGATGCAAAGTTGATGAGAAGAGTTGTGACAGATGAGGATTGCAGGATCCTCCAAGAGGACCTGAACAGATTGCAGAGATGGTCAGAGAAATGGCTACTAGAATTCAACACGAGCAAATGTAAAGTTATGGAAATGGGACTAGGAGATAGGAGACCAAAGGGACAGTACACAATGAAGGGGAACAGCCTACCTGTAACGACGCGTGAAAGAGACCTGGGGGTGGACGTAACACCTAATCTATCTCCTGAGGCACATATTAATAGGATAACGACAGCAGCGTACTCTACACTGGCAAAAGTTAGAACATCATTCAGAAACCTAAGTAAGGAGGCATTTAGGGCGCTTTACACTGCCTACGTAAGGCCAGTCTTAGAGTATGCCGCCTCATCATGGAGTCCCCATCTGAAGAAGCATATAATGAAACTGGAAAAGGTTCAGAGGTTTGCAACGAGACTCGTCCCAGAGCTACGAGGGATGGGGTATGAAGAGCGCCTGAGGGAACTGTGCCTTACGACACTAGAAAGAAGAAGGGAGAGGGGGGACATGATAGGAACGTATAAGATACTCAGAGGAATTGACAGAGTGGACATAGACGAAATGTTCACACGGAATAGTAACAGAACGAGAGGACATGGATGGAAGCTTGAAACTCAGATGAGTCACAGAGATGTAAGGAAGTTTTCTTTTAGCGTGAGAGTAGTGGGGAAATGGAATGCACTTCAGGAACAGGTTGTGGAAGCAAATACTATTCATAATTTTAAAACCAGGTATGATAGGGAAATGGGACAGGAGTCATTGCTGTAAACAACCGATGCTCGAAAGGCGGGATCCAAGAGTCAATGCTCGATCCTGCAAGCACATATAGGTGAGTACATATAGGTGAGTACACACACACACACACACACACAGACAGAGCCAGAGCTCAACCCCCGCAAGCACAATTAGGTGAGTACAATTAGGTGAGTACACACACACACACACACACACACACACACACACACACACACACACACACACACACACACACACACACACACACACACACACACACACACACACACACACACACACACACACACACACACACACACACACACACACACACACACACACACACACACACACACACACACACACGAGGTGTCACCTCACAAACACTGACATTAAAACTGTCAACAGAACAGACGAACTTGTTAGGGTTTCGGGGGGGGGGAGGGGGGAGGATGGGAGAGGGGGGGAAGGGGGCGGGGCAGGAGGGGGGGGGGGGGGGAGGAACACGTTGGTATTAGTATTGAGTTGCTTGGTGTTGTGTTGCGTCTTGCTGTGTTGTTTTGGGCTGCTTTTGTTGCATTACCCTGTGTTATGTTGTGTTACGTTAGGCTGTGTTTGGCATTTTTTTGTGCTACGTTTGAGCTCTCCTCTGGTATATTGTGTTGTGTTTCACGGTGTTGTGTTGTACTGTGATATGTTGTGTTGTATTGTATTGATTGGTATTGTGCTTGGTTGGGTTGTATTGTCATATATTGTATTTTTTGTATTGTTGCCTTAACCAAAATGCCTAACAATGACAACATCAAAACAGATCATCTTTCCCCCATCACATAACATCAACAACAGAGACCCATCACATAACAACATCAACAGAGACCCATCACATAACATCAACAGAGACCCATCACATAACATCAACAGAGATCCATCACATAACGTCAACAGAGACCCATCACATAACATCAACAGAGACCCATCACATAACGTCAACAGAGACCCATCACATAACATCAACAGAGACCCATCACATAACAACATCAACAGAGACCCATCACATAACATCAACAGAGACCCATCACATAACATCAACAGAGACCCATCACATAACATCAACAGAAACCCATCACATAACATCAACAGAGACCCATCACATAACATCAACAGAGATCCATCACATAACATCAACAGAGATCCATCACATAACATCAACAGAGATCCATCACATAACATCAACAGAGACCCATCACATAACATCAACAGAGATCCATCACATAACATCAACAGAGACCCATCACATAACATCAACAGAGACCCATCACATAACATCAACAGGCATCAACCCTCCGCCCTACAGAACATCCTGACAACATAATCACTACAGATACAGACTCGTACAACTGTATTAATTACCTCCCTGTAACCTACCGTTTGAAGGTTTGTGATGAAAGTCCAGTTTTAATAGGGCAGTCATACTAGATCTCGATTGATGGTGATATGAACAGTAAATGGGGGGGGGGGTCACATGCAAATTGTGAACGAGGGGCTTAATGAGTCCCGGGACAGTGAACGAGGTCTTAGCGAGACGTATGGACAGTGAACGAGGGGTTTCACGAGTCGTTTAGACAGTAGACAAGCGATGCATATTTCAGAAATAGGCTGTAAAACGTATATTAGATTCTGAATGGTTCCTTATTCAGTTATAGTCGGACGGGGCCTTAGATGGCCAGTCCTTGTATTTGATGTTGATAATGTTGAGTACTTTTAATAAGTTTGTCCTGGCATCAACATCAGAGACCCATCGCATAACATCAACAGAGACCCAGCCACATCACATAACACCACAGGGAGCCGGTCGGCCGAGCGGACAGCACGCTGGACTTGTTATCCTGTGGTCCTGGGTTCGATCCCAGGCGCCGGCGAGAAACAATGGGCAGAGTTTATTTCACCCTATGCCCCTGTTACCTAGCAGTAAAATAGGTACCTGGGTGTTAGTCAGCTGTCACGGGTTGCTTCCTGGGGGTGGAGGCCTGGTCGAGGACCGGGCCGCGGGGACACTAAAAGCCCCGAAATCATCTCAAGATAACCTCAAGATGCCCATCATGATGTTTGATTGTAGTTTCCTCCATATTTATCTACATTTTCCTACGTGTTTTTTTAATCATCTACAATCAAAAATTGGGAGAATGTTTATTTATTTTGGGAGAGCATATATATATATATATATATATATATATATATATATATATATATATATATATATATATATATATATATATATATATCAGGAATAGAATAGGTGTCAGTAATGACCCCTGTGGGATTACATGGGTGAAATCTCTCCCCTATTCTGGAATCTGTTAGAGACAGTACCTCGCTGTCTCGTGATAGACTTGGGTACTGCTTTATTCACTGGAGCACTTTGTTCACTTTCCTGTTATTCCGAGCTAATTCTCTCCAACTTGCACATTAGTCTCATGTTGGGTACTGTATCAGAGATGCTTTGATAGTACAAGAATATGCAGCCAGCCCTCACCTCTCTGTTTTATCTGGATGCTTGGGCATTGAACTCTGAAAGGTTTATGAGGCAAAATGTGCCGTCTTTTGAAGTCATTATGGTGCAAATGACTTGTAAACTCTCCTGTGTTTACCTGAGTTACTAACACCATCGTTCCGATCTTCTCCGTCACCTTGCACTGATGGGTAGTTATTGGCACTGGCTTCTAGTTCAGTGCCTCTGAATGTCTCTTCATTTTTGCAAAATGGCACTGTAATGGCACTGTAATGGCTGCCGAAACTGTTGTTGTTGTTGCTATTATATTTCCTGTGAGGCGCCTCTGGCACCTCTTTATTTACCTGAGGGCCACTAATCCTAGTGGCCTCAACGAGGACAGGAAGCCGGCGGATTGTCGAAAGTCCCCCCCTTTTATAGATCAGCTTTGCAGTTGGCTCTGGCTTCGCCAGCGTTTAAGGACCTTTGGCCCTGTCGCCGAGTGAATAATTAACGAGTAGTGTCTGCTGCTCCGACAAGCCATTGCACACGTCTCAAAGGCTATGCTCCTTAATTTGTTTGTGCGTGAAGGCGGCCGCCTGGAAGACTGAGACGCTGACCTTGAGAATGTCAGAGGCACCAGTGTGGGGGTGTTGGTGGTGCTGCCTTCTTTCTTGCTTGTCTTTCCGTGTCTTACCTCACGTGTATATGAGGTAAGAAACGTGTGTGTGTGTGTGTGTGTGTGTGTGTGTGTGTGTGTGTGTGTGTGTGTGTGTGTGTGTGTGTGTGTGTGTGTGTGTGTGTGTGTGTGTGTGTGTGTGTGTGTGTGTGTGTGTGTGTGTGTGTGTGTGTGTGTGTGTGTGTGTGTGTGTGTGTGTGTGTGTGTGTGTGTGTGTGTGCGTAAATCACGAATAAAGCGATAAAGAAAAATAAAGATGACGTACTCGAGGAAGTGTTAAGGTAGACACGAAAGCGCTCTAGCATTTCAAATGTTGTGTTGTTTAGGACTGGAGATCCACGCCGGCACTACATACTCTAGCATTATTGGATCATGTGCTTAATATAACCATCTGAAAGCGTCTTCGTTTAAATATATATGTAATGTCATTTATGTGTAGTAGGAATAGCATTTCTCCCTCTGTACTGCTTCCTAAAGTAATTCCAATTCTGATATTTCCCACCAATCCTATTTAACCTTTGCTGCTTTATTTCCTATTAAGGAGTTTCTCCCCAATTTAATAATTGTAATGGTTTGGTGCTTTTCCCTGATAGTTCCCTCCCTCCCAATTTAATATTCTTATAGGTTCACCTGGCTGTCTATTTGCTATATTTCAGGAGTGACTTATATACAATAGTGTTAACACAAGACTTAATGACAAATAATAGTCCACCCACACGTATCTGTCATGAATGTTTTCAGGCATTCTTTCGTAGAACTCCCTTAGGTTTGTCAGACGTGACTTTTCTTCTCCTAAACCATTGTTCGATGCTTTATTGTCAAGTTTATACACTTCACGTCTTCCATTATTACCCTCCTTATTTATCTCTCTAGCGCTTTGTATGTATGTATGTATGTATGTATGTATGTATGTATGTATGTATGTATGTATGTATGTATGTATGTATGTATTTAACTCTACATATATTTCCTTCTAATCATATCCACCCTAAACGGAACAGTTGTTCCAAGTAAGAGGGAACCATGAAGCTACTCCCGGTTCAAGAACCATGGTTCTAGAAACCCTGATTTCATGGTTCTAGAAACCCTGATTTCATGGTTCTAGAAACCCTGATTTCATGGTTCTAGAAACCCTGATTTCATGGTTCTAGAAACCCTGATTTCATGGTTCTAGAAACCCTGATTTTATGGTTTTAGAAACCTTGATTTTATGGTTCTAGAAACCCTGATTTCATGGTTCTAGAAACCCTGATTTCATGGTTCTAGAAACCCTGATTTCATGGTTCTAAAAACCCTGATTTCATGGTTCTAAAAACCCTGATTTCATGGTTCTACAACCGTGAACTACTCATTGCCCGAGCACCATGAGCTAGTTCTAGTACCACACATCACTCTTGGTTCTAGAAACAAACCAGAATAAAATTCTTGCCACCTCCACCCTTCCCAATTTCCGTTTCATCTCCTCATTTGCATTTTAAATTGGCCAGCGAGTGCCTATTTGGCCCGGCACTGGGCTTTGCCGCCAAAGGATTCACCTTCATTGTAATGCAAATGAAATTAGTCATCATTAATTAAAGAGGACTGCCAGTATGAGTGTCCACTTGGGTATGATGAATACCTTGGCCTCTATTGGCCCGGATTTAACCTTACTAACAGACACGTAAGAGGTTGTTTTCTCGGAAATGGGAAGATAGTTGAGCAATGTTTAGTGTCCTTTGTTCAATATGTTCAAGGCGCCCCATTGCATTTTAGGGATCAGGAGCCCCATTACCTGTATAGTGATCAAGAGTTCCATTATTTGTAGTGATCAGAAGCGTGTTTAACTTCAGGTGTGTAGCTCCAGGTGTAGGAGTCCAGAAGTATAATTATTGGCTTCCTTATACAAGACAACTATTGCAATAGTATTAATGTTGATCTGTGATGCCAAAGAAGCCAGAACTCTTAGCTTAGGATGGTTCACTGAAGCTTGCAATGAGAAGCATAGCTTCCCTTGCTCTGGTAAACATAGCTTCCCTTGCTCTGGTAAGCATAGCTTCCCTTGCTCTGGTAAACATAGCTTCCCTTGCTCTGGTAAGCATAGCTTCCCTTGCTCTGGTAAGCATAGCTTCCCTTGCTCTGGTAAACATAGCTTCCCTTGCTCTGGTAAGCATAGCTTCCCTTGCTCTGGTAAGCATAGCTTCCCTTGCTCTGGTAAACATAGCTTCCCTTGCTCTGGTAAGCATAGCTTCCCTTGCTCTGATAAGCATGGCTTCCCTTGCTCTGGTAAACATAGCTTCCCTTGCTCTGGTAAACATAGCTTCCCTTGCTCTGGCAAACATAGCTTCCCTTGCTCTGGTAAGCATAGCTTCCCTTGCTCTGGTAAGCATAGCTTCCCTTGCTCTGGTAAGCATAGCTTCCCTTGCTCTGGTAAACATAGCTTCCCTTGCTCTGGTAAACATAGCTTCCCTTGCTCTGGTAAACATAGCTTCCCTTGCTCTGGTAAACATAGCTTCCCTTGCTCTGGTAAACATAGCTTCCTCTGCTCTGGTAAACATAGCTTCCCTTGCTCTGGTAAAAATAGCCCACAGCGTCTATACAAAGGAAGATATAATTAAACCTACAGCTCTCAACTGGACGCTGATTGTGTTAAACTGTGAGAGATTATGATGCCGTATTTACATGAGCACTTACGAAACCTTTACATCTTTTCTGAATTCCATCAGGTTAGTTTGCCTTTATTAAATAATTTATGACATCTGAGCCACAATGAGGTCGTCAATAATAAAAATAACCTTGGGTTGCTAATCTTCTAAGGTCATATGTTGTTCAATAAACAGAGAATATGCCGCGATGATGCCGAGAGATGATGTACTGCTTTCGTAAGTCTCTTATCGTAAGAAAAGAGTGAGGAAAAGAAAGAGTAGATGTCGGTAAGAGCTCCAGGAGCTCGTCTTCTGCTAATGGGAGCTCAGACCCCTCAAGGCTCTCAACCTATATTTACCAGATGACTAAGAACTTAACCTAATGCCGGTTTGATCAAAAAATGTCTTGCAAAAAGTCTTATCCTCAGCCTTGTTTAATCGTCTGAGGAGGCTCCGGGAGGGCTTGTGAGTGTGTTTACTAACCAGCAGTGGTTATACCTATCCGCGTCTCCACGGGGGTCGAGATGTGGCTCTTGGGCCCAGGCTTTTAGCCATTGATTACTCACCAGCAGTGATTAGCTATC